TCTCATCGAGCCACTTTCTCCTTCTGACGACATGCGCCGGCGTGGACGTGACATCGTCCACGTCGCCCGCCTTAAGCCATATTATAGCCCTCGGCCTCCAGACTCTTAGGTCGCCAGGATGGCTCTTTTTCGGAGGGGGAAAATTGTGAAGAAGAAATCGCATCGTTGGCAAGCAACATCGCCTCCGCTTGGGTACTGGGTCCTGGGCTTCGCTCGCTCGGCTCGTGCTGATCATCGCCGGCATCTGCTTGACCGTTGCTCATTCCCGATCGTGTTTTATCGTAGGACCACCGTCGCAACAGTCGCCAATAAACCCTTTTTCAATATATATATATATTGTCAAGACGAAGACAGACGCTGGGGCTCGGGCGCGTGGGCAGCTAAGGGAAGGTAGAGGAAGAAGAAGACAGAATAAGAATCGCGTTTGGCAAAACCAGCTGTCTGGTCGGCTCCCAAAATCACGTTATAGCTATTAGTGTCTACTTTGTCGTTGATTCTTTTGTCTCACTATCTGAATCTTTGGTTTCTTTCTTCTTTTTTAACATACTGTCTTCACTATACAACTCCCCCCTTTTTTTTCGTTGTAAGCAATAATGCAGTTATCGTCCATCTGAGACTATATGGTCTCTTGGCCAATCCCCCAGAGTGGGTACGAGCCATGGATTAGAAGATACAAACAAACAAACAAACAAACAGCTGGCCCAGGATCGGGTGTTGTCTCTTGTTCTCTGTCTAGTACATTACAATGGCACAGTCGACGGAGAAGAAGTCTTACGTCCCGGCTTCGTCATCCAGGACAGCCGTGATAAGCGCCGCTTGAGGACGGCGTCAAGGCCTCCTCGGTAGCTGTTCACCTGCCGCCAATGCCACCACCGTTCGGGGACGGCGTCAAGGCCTCCTCGGCGGCTGCAGTACACGTTACCGGTACCATTTCACAAGGAACGCCATCTACGCGTCCTTGGCTATGGATTCTGCCGTCAGCGCAAGCCGACAAGTGAACCCTCTGCGGGAAGCCACCGGTACGTGTCTTCATGATTCGTCGGCCGTGCGGGCTTCTCCATCCAGGAACGCCGTTCACGCTTCTTTGGCGATGGAGTCAACAGCCCGGCCGCCACTTCAGCTGCCCATCGGACCATCAGTGGACGGTGTCCATGGCTCCTCTGTGGTACCAGGGCATCACCAAATAGACACCAAGCTACCACTTCGTGGCCGTAATACGCACGGGCTCCTGTCCTTTGGGAATGCTGTTCAAGCTTCCCACGGCCTGCATTCCCTGTCCGGTACTCTTCCAACATACGAGCCGCCAAGAAACGCTGTTCATGCTTCCTTAGACGTGCGTGTCACCACTGTGAGTACTACTAGAACAACGTAGTTCACGGACGCGAACCAAAGCGGTTCAGAAGCCTCGTGCGACAGTGCCATTGAACTGCGGTGTACCATCACACTGCTCCGCGCCGAGACTAATATACTGACAGCGTTGATGGCCTAGCGAGCCCCTACAATGTTGCCAGCATTGTGTGACATTAACGGAGTGTTGGATGTAGCTGCCTCACACGACCTTGAGGCAAGCACACCGGAGCGACGCCGGGAGCTACGGTCTTCTCTGATCGAGCTCTCACACAAGCTCGACTGCTACGCGTCGGTGATCTCTGCGTTGCCACCTGCCACCTCACAATCACCAGCCGTCTGCGAACTACCGGAATTCCGTGGGGTCCGGAATGACGCCGACAGCTGGGTGGCAACCATCAACACGATAGCTATGCGTGAGGCCTGGACGGAATCTCAGAAATGGACCGTGGCTAAAGACCGTCTTCGGGAAGGTCCAGCGACGTGGCACCGGTATGAAGGTTGGAAGCAGCAGTCATGGGCGGAGGGGAGCTTCAAGCTCATAGCTGCTTTCGGTCCGATTCCCTGTGCCACCTGCCCATGCAACTCAACCTTCTCTCAGGACGGAACTCGGGAACAGCCCGACCTAGAGGATGCAATTCGAGCCCCTACCACCCTGTCATCTCTCGGTGACCAAGATCTAGAGATCATTCACCATCGTGTGACTCTGCCTTGCACAGGCATTTCTGCTGTCCTGGAGCAGCTGCCCGATGGTGCACCTGTGTCCGGTAGGTCTCTCACGGCAAGTTTTGCAAAACGCCCTGCGACAGGCCCCAACGAACGCCATCCGGAGTCGTCAGACCATTCGGTAGATGCTGAGGTGCCAGCCTCCATTTTACTGGACATTTTACCGCGTCATCAAACGCACGTGCCTGTGGATTTCAACACGCTCATCCTTGATCAGACGGAAGCGGGTCTGCACGCTTTAATTGCTTCAGTAACTGAACACGAGAGCATTTCCGCCTTGCAAAAATACACCTCTCGTAAAATGAAGTATATCGAGGAGTTTCCTGCTGTTGAGCCTGACCAAAGTGACCACAGTCCTCCTCTGCAGGTCGTGAACTCTGCGTTGGTATTAGAGCCGGAAACATCACCACCAGACCTTCCTCAGGAGATGCTGTCCTCGCGCTTGTTGTCGTTTGAAGACATGGAGGCGCTCACATCTATCGTACCAGACACAACTGAACCCCACTAGACCATGATCGTCGGAAACAAAATGCACTCTTTACCGCTTCACAAAGGAGGCCTTTCCGAGGATGCGAACAAGATCCGCCCTAACCTGACACAGCCATGTTTGCAGACGGCTCATACATTCATTTTCGAAGACGCACATACGCTCAGCCACGCAGACACTTGGCTCCCAAGGAATGTTTCCTTTGAGAAAATCCAGACACCTAGTCAGGCTGAGGCCACTGCCATTGAGAACTTGTCGAAGACCAGCCCTCGTGCTGTTCCCTCCCAGCCCACCATGTCTGCACGCGACAGTTCGCCAGAAGCCACCAGCTGGACAACTTCAGAGAGTTCTGCTGTGGTATTGATGCCCAACCATGAGCTGCGTCGCCACTCATTTCGAGAAATAGCACAAACGTCCACACGGCTGCCTCACAGAGCGTCCCACTGCAGTTCAGTCCACCAACAGTAGTTGGACAAACACCAGCATTTCCAGGTTACTCTGCGACCTTGCTGGAACAGTCAGGGCCATCCGCCTGAGCGGTATTCTACGAGTTGTCAGGAAACGCTGTACCATGGACGAGTTCAACAGCAGCGACAAAGCCATTTCCGCCCGCCTGAGTACACAGACAGGTCTTCAAGCAGAGGCGCACCGTGGCGTTCACCGACCGGCTCGAGCCAGCCAGTGTCGTCCACCAGAGACGCTTCCCCCAGACCGTCACTCCATGTTGCATTGTGGTTCGGGACGACCACCACGATGCAGCCAAGCCCACCTAGCAGAAACTTTGCCGCCAGCTCCACGCGCGCGCAGTCATGGCTGAGTGTCAAGGCGAAGAAAGACGCTGGGGCTCGGTCGCGTGGGCAGCTAAGAAAAGGTAGAGGAAGAAGAAGACAGAATAAGAACAGCTGGCTCAGGATCGGATGTTGTCTCTTGTTCTTGTTCTCTGTCTAGTACATTACAATATATATATATATATATATATATATATATATATATATATATACAAAATTGTGCGAACCTAACTACACACGGTCAAAAAGACATAGAACATTGAAGTACTTATGATGAGACTGATAATATTTGCCTACCTTTTTTAAAGTGTGTAGCCCATCGATGAACGCTATACAACGTGTTCTAAAGAGACTGTTGCGAGGAGTGACAGAGAGAAACGTAGGAAAAGAAATTCAAAACGAGAAAGACAAAATCAAAAAGAAAGAGTATCAAAAAAGAAAAAAAGTAAGTGCGAAATTGCGAGAAAAAGAACGCAAAACCAAACAGAAAGAAATAGAAAGAAAGGAGATGAGAATGGAATAAGTAGAAATTGACAAGAAAGACAGATAATAAAAAGATGAGAAAAAAAGAAACAAATAGGGCCACCAATGAGCTACGCAATTAGTTCAGGCTTTGCATCACTATGTTCTAAGCTCCCCATTAGCTCCACTGCCTCTTTACCGTTGCGCCTCAAGTGCAACTCACGCTAATTCCTTTCTGGGTTTTTATTAATCTCCAAGAAGGCACAACCACAGTGAAAAATTTAACTGTTCAGTGGAAATATGCCAGGTGCTGACTGGGATACCACCTACAGGTTTGCCCCTTGTGCGGTTCGGATGTCCATCCAAAGCGCTTCTTTTTCTTACTTCCTGTTGCTTCTCTACGTTTGCGAGCTGCCTCTTCCCGCACCTGTGGCATGCTGTTCATTGTTTCTTAAGCGACGCAAGCAATCTCCTTCATTGAACTGATGCCACTGCGTCCTTGCAGTCCTTCGAGCAGCGGCACAAACATCTCCTCAGATCTTTTTATGTACAGTTTCTCAAACATTGGTGCGCCTACACTCAAATTAGGCCAGTTTCGTGCACCAAAAAAAGGGCTTTGCCCCCCCCCCCACAAAAAAGAAAACATGTATACAATTGTTTGCGCAAGGCAGGCCAAAGGGCGCTTTCCTCCTCAAGGAAGGAAAGCACCCCACCCCCATTTTTTTCGTAACTGCAGTACTCGCGCCGTGTGCAAACGACTCCCCCCCCCCATTGCCCCATTGCCTACATATGCGAGTTTGTTTCCAAGCGGCGCCGTAACGTGGTGTGGTACACCCTTGCTGACTCAGTAGCCGCGAACTCAAATCCCCTGTTTCCTCTCAATATTCTGAAATTTATTTCTCAACACAATGCTTGCATGCAGATTGTGAATTTAATCACAGGCATGCGCACACTGAAAATATTCTAGCTAAGTCAACCAAAATCCAATTATCATATTGTGCCGAAATCAACTGTTGCTCCCTTTAGGAGTAACCATTGGGAGGAGGGAGTACTAGAGGTTCCTCCACAGTTCCTCCGAAAATGGACGAATGGGTGTGGCAGTTTAGCTACTCCTCTGAAAGAGAAACCTCGAACCCCTCTTCTTCCCTTACTTCTAAGAATTTATTAGCAGCCGCCCATTGGCTACGCACTTTCGGTGAGGGAAGTCTTCGCCAGCACCAGTGTTGCTCCAGCGAAAATGCAGCCGTACATTGCCGCAAGGTTCTCGAGGCTGTTCTTTAGGTGGGCGCACACACGATCCCCCGGACCGATGCCTTGCTGTTGGAAACCCACGGCATAGCACTTCATGAGCGCTAATAACTCCGCTCTAGTTGTTTTGATAGAACCTTGAATCTGTGTGGAATCAAATTTCAGGCCCATATTATTCATTGCAGGAGTCGTTCATAATCACTAAAAATACGCTCAAAATAGGCATGCAGAACAACGTTTTATGCCTTTAACGTCGTAACTGCTGGCAGGATGGGTATCTGACATAAATTCGAGCCACTTCTAACCGAAGATGTGCCAGACTTACGTACAAGCAACGGCATATATATAAATTTTTCTTAAAGGTAAACATATATACAGATCTGTCTGGCTGGGTATAATTATACGAATAATCAGACTGTCCTTACACTTAGTTTACAGTTTTTAGGAATGAAAACTGACCCTACGCTTTGAGACCCCTTCGGTCTCTTCCTCAGAAATTGCTTGTCCAGCCAGTTGCAAATCTAGCAAGTTTTCTTAGCAGTTGTCCCTCTCTAGTCTTGCTTTCAGTCTATGGCGAGTTTTTTCAATGTGTACATGACCACAGAGAAGCCCAATTCAGTGTACAAGCCACTTTGTTCATGGTACAAACGGTGAAGTGTGCTTTACGGTAAAGATTTTTTGGTCATCATTTTTTTTCACCAGCCTCTCTTTAGATATACTACCAATGCTATTCATGTTTTAGGAGCAGAGAAAACAACATAACACTTGATGTAGAGCTGAAAACAAGCTGGCGAAAAAACATCACGTGCGACAAAAAAAAAAAAAACAAGGCTGCACAGCATACGCCATCGTTTGTACAAGGCATAACTTTAGTATACAGGTTTAGTTTTTCCTGTGTTGATGTGTACATTGAAAAAAGGCCGTTGTTTCAATGTAAGGTCAGAACACCAGCGTTCGCTATAAGGCAACGCGTACTCACATGTCGCCTGTCACCATGCATAACGCAGATGCACCCCTAATTTTTGTGATAACATTTGTTTCTTCAGGCATAAAAATCAGACTACAAGAGACATTGTTTAGTCTCATCAATATAAGGGGCCCTGAAACACTTTTTCGAGCAACCACGGAACAAATTCATCGGAAGAGCTCATTGCCTTACGAATTCAACGGCACAAAAATTTTAAGAATTCGTTCAGTGCGAGTGTACTTACAAAGATTTGTCGCTTACTGCAATTACATTATCTCTTCTCTCGTCACGACGAAATTACTAGAAGCTAAGCAGAGAGTGATGGAAAGGAAAAAAAAAACCACGTTACTCGCGCCTTCTGGTTTTAAACACTTTTTTCTTCTTTTTTTTTGAATGCGTGGCTGTCTCAGGGTGATCGCGCACGCGCGTGCACAAGTCGTGGCTTCCCGCGGCGACCTCTGTAATGACCGAGTGCGCCGTGTTCAAATCAGCCAATGGCTCATAGATGAGCTTACCGGGCTTAAAGCCATGATTTGTAGAGAGAAGAGAAAGCTATATTTGTAGCCGACTCTTAGCATTTATTGTAGATTACAGGCCATGGGGTGCGCTATAATATTCGGCTCGTGTGTTGCCGGGAGCCTCTACTACCGATGGGCGGCGTTTTTTTGACCACGCTCCAAAAGTGTTGCAGGGCCCCTTTAACAAAAAAAAAAGGCAATCAATGCAAAAGCACGATCTCAGTAGCAATGAATGACTATGAATTTTTTGTTCAATCATTTCAGCCCTTAGTACAATGCGCGCATGTTAAAACTTTTTTTCGAGCTGTTTCTGATCTTTGTTGGAACACGTCTTTCTGTATTTTGTTTGACTATCAATCAAGTATGACCATGCGACATTTGTTCGTGGTTTAAATTTTGTGCGTTCTTTCAAATAAAGTTATTCGTGAGAAGGCCTGCGCAATATTTGTTGCGCCCTCTTTTTTTTAGCTGCCCATTTAAAAATACATAACCACGTTTAACTTGCCCCAAGCGTCAATTCTAAGATAGCATTCTTGCGATTCTGCACCTACTACCACCGTATCAACGTAATCCCTGATGACTCGTATCTTTTTTTTTTTACCACCAAACGACACTGCGGATCAGCTGCGCAACTCAAGGTATTTCTCGTCGATGAACTTCATGACAGGTTACTGGCAAACTGAAAGTCACACAGACAGATTGAGAAGGAACTGTGATGGCAACACTAGATATCCTATTTGAGCTTAAGGTCATGTCATTCGCTATTTCTTCAGCGCCTCCCATTTTCGTACGCACTGCATCAGTACAACGCACTAATCGATGCCACACAGGTAGGCATGAACTACCATTTTTGTCTGGTCTACTCAAGACATCGTCGTTTTTTCAGAAAATTCCGACTACTACATAAAGCGTCTTCAGATGACGTTACAGGCCATAAATCTGCGGTTCTTACCGTGAACAGAAGGAACGTCATTCCACACACGAAAGCTGCTCTCCCTAGGATAAGCTTTCAGTCAGTTTAAATTTGGCCGAATCCACAGACCTCATGCATCGCGAACTTCCCTACACTAAGCAAAACTAGAAGCTAAAAGCCACGATTACATGGACGTACTGATGGAAATTGTGCATAAACATTAGATATACTAAACACTTCTTGTGAGAAGTCCCACAGATAGAAAAAAATGAGGAGCTTGAACAACACCTCCAGTCACCACATGTTCTTCCTCACTGCGACAAAGCCGGAACCAAAACTCCCGCCCACGCAAGCAATGTATCACTCTGGCAATCAAAACAATGCGTGTTAGTTTATATTGTACTCTACCACAAATTATTGTGACATTCATGTACAGAAAATAAATAGACAGCTTAGCGATTGACGTATGGAATCCCACTTGTCTGAAGCGGCCAGCTGAGCCGTTTCAGCTGCCGTTTTCTTGCTGAATTTTCCAAAGAATGCCGCCGTATATTATGCCTAACATAATTATGCTGAATACTAAGTCCTTTAACTCAAGTGCGAACGTAAGCGTGTAGCTAACGTGAGATAGCAGCGGTCGGGAAAAACAGCGTCCACAGGCATGCGCTCCGCGGCTCTAGACAAGTGCGATTCTGTCCGTACGCAGCACTGCTACACATCAACATCTTTCTTCAAGACTGTGGCGAAACTTCGGTCCCGATGTTCCCGAAAATGCACAGCGTGAAGTATTGAAAGCTACCGTTCACCAGGCCTTGCAATGCAGCGTGAAAAGATACAATGAAATAACTCACAAATGCCACCCGTTCCGGATTTCTGGATAGAGCTTCCTCGATGACCGTGTAGGCTGAACAGAAGGAATATCCGCGCTGGGAAAAGGAGAGTACACGACTCCGTCTTGCATGCGGGCTTTCATCGTGAGTTAGCGCTTGCACGAATTCTGCAATACTACACCTGTATTCTGGAACGTTCGTGTGCACAATGCTTTACCTTCCCCTGAGAAAGTTGATGGGAGCTCCGTCTCTAGGCAGAGCTAGCCACTGCATATCAGCGATAGTCTGCAGCGATTCTTGAGAAGCAAAGCCTCATTTTCAGTCGAACAACGGCGCAGAGCTTAGCTCTGTGAAGCGAAGGACGGAATTTGACGCGAGGAGCTTTCATGAACCGGGGGAGAGTGAATTCGACAGACACTGAAGGCAAAAGAACGAAGCCCGGTGGCGAGAAGAAATACAAACAGCAGTTATTTGGGTTCGCGACGCCCTCACGGCGGAACTAAACTTCAGACTCTGCTTTCATGTCTCGCTTGTGTAGGCTACAGCGATAACACGCCAACCCCAACAAAACTGAGTCCTTTATCGCGGTTTGGACATGGATTGCTCTCCTTCAGTCAGCCTTATCGAAGGCACTTCGCAACGCCGTTTTACTGAAATAAAGGAAAGGTTTCCGTTCTGCCAACAAGTGGTTGGTGTACAGCCAAAAGACCGCTTTATTGCTCCTCAATCTGAGTTTTTTCGCTGCTAATGCTTCAACTCTGTTAGAAATAGAACTTCTAAAATGTAAATTCGCATAGAAACGTACACCTAGCAGTGGCGAATTATTGCTTCATTCATGCAGGGGCGTGAACGTAAGCGTTTTGTTTAGAAGAAATACAAATCACGAGATTGAATTAAAAGTAATTTTTTACAGTGGGGCCCTGGTATAGGGGCACCACCCTGCCGCACAAATTTCGCTCTTCACCCTGTATATTCCTAGGGGCACTGGAGTTCTAGCCTGTCTGGATTATGTACATAATAAAGTTTTCTACACTCTCAAAATTACTGAGTAAAAAGGGCGTCTTTTTGTCCCAGAACAATAATCGTCATCAGGCTCGCGTGCGCTTCCTTTCTTGAAAACTCAGCGCTGGCCACTTTCCTATCGAGAATGCAATAACCCTGATAATGGGCATGTCGATCGTGACCGGAATGTACCAGGCGCGGGGCGATAGCGCAAGGATGGAACGCAATATAGATGACGATTATTGTTGTGGGACAAAAAGACATCCTTTTTACTCGCTCTTTTTTTAAAGTGTACTACTACTCCTACTACTACTACTTACCAAACAAGCAGTTCATATCCACGCACAGATAAATAAATACGTCTAAAAATCTGAGCGGAGTGGTTGCGTGACGTGGACGTGGAAAGATGCAGATTACTTAAACTCCAGTAAACTAGACCAACGTCAGCACGTAGTCTGACAAGCCTATTTCTTCATCTCAGTCTTTTTTAACACTTGCAAGAGCCGCTTATATCACTTTACGTTAAAACAATAACTGGTGACAGAGGCAACCTAGGGTGAGCTTAAGCAGACTTTAGAAATATATGCACTATTCGTACTAAAAATTTTTTTACGGCGGCCTACCTGCCAGGTTAGTCTATAGGTAATGGCACTCGACTGCTGACCCGAATGTGGTGGGATCTAATCCCGGCCACGGCGGCTGCATTTTAGATAGAGGCGAGAATGGTTTTCGCCCGTGTACGTAGCTCTAGGTGCATGTTAAAGAACCCCAAGTGGTCGAAATTTCCTGAGCCCTTCACTATACGGCATGCCTAATAATAATATCGAGGTTTTGGGACACAAAACACAAATTAGTAATATATTATTATTATTATTATTATTATATTATTATAAATCTAGCGGTTATAACCGCTGACATGAAGCTCACGTGATCGAATCCCGGCAGCAACGGCCACATTTTACATCGAGCCGAAACACAGGATACCCGTTCACTTACAACTGTTTGAGAACAAACACCAGGTGGTCGAAAATTCCTGAACCCTCTACCAGAACCTCCTCCATAACGATGTCGTCGTTTTGGGCCGTTAAACTACAACAGCTAATTTATGATAAATAGTGCGAGCTTTTCTAGCTCGATCCACGAGAGACCTAAGTTACACGGACGCAAATGCATTCGCTTGAAATAGCTGAGCGGCAAGATTCACCAGCACCTTTTTTTTTTTCAGTCAATTCTTTTGATCTTATTTCACAATGTGTGACCAACTTTCCCGACGAAGCATACATCTGCGTTGATGCTTTGCGTTACAACGAAATTGAGGGATTGTACGTGACTGCAACAACTAGTCTACATAGGAGATATCCTACCTTGACGCATAGCATTCGCACGCGCTCCGTGTCTCTCCGCACTCACATGTGCGTATCTGGGTATTTAAGTGTGGCTTACGTTTGTAAATCGCATGGTCAGTACCCGCTCACGGCGTGCCCCTGACGGCCGGAAGATGCGCCTCGGTATTCGAATATGCCGGCACAACGACAGGAATGTTATGAAAGCAAATTTCGAAGCAATTCCTCTTAAAAATAAATTCTTTCATTCGTGCATTCGTGCATTGCCATAACCACTTGCAAAACAAGCTTCCCGCATTCTTTCACGGGAAAACTTGCTTTCTTTGCATAGTTATTTAAAACGAAACAATCGTCTCAGGTGTTGAACAACGATAACAGTTTGTTGTAGAAACGGTGTTTTTGAATACAATAATCAGGGTATATGTGTCGGTTATTCTCACAACACCGGGTTGCTTCTCGCACCACTTTACTTCATTTGACAGTTGTCCTCGCGAAAACGAAGGTGTCGCTGGTTTCTGATGTCTCACTGCTCGTGGTGGGAAACTCGAGAGCGGCCCTTCACCCTGTCAACATGACAGTCGGTCCTAGACATTTTGTTTTTTTTTGGGCAAGGTGACATGGATAAGGAGCAGAGTGGCATCCACACAAAGGAGTCTAAACCGATTGCGGTTGTTTCAAAGAGGCTCACATGATTTTGTGCTGCAAGTCTGCTGTCTTGGGAGTTGTTACAAAAGTTACTGTTTATAAGCTCTCTTTTACACGAAAGCGGAAACAAACAAAGTTTTTAACATGCATTTTGTACTTGTTCATTTGTTGGGAGCCCTCGTCATGTCTCTGTAAATCTCTGATTTTGTAGCTTTTGCAAACTTTAAATACTAGTATGTTTTTTCATCATATTATTCATATGCTTTTGAGGTATCGCTCTTCAGGGGGGCTCACACTGAAGAAGAGCCACTACAATGAAGTCACCGGTTCGATGCCTTCATCCATCACCTTTTTTCTATGTATTCATTAGAAATACAAAAGATCATGATGCAAATTTCTGCAGTTTCTTTTGCATAAAATCACACAATGGCCACGATAATCACACATATTGGTTGGCTATTCTCATACAAGAACTCAAAGCATGATTACCTCAACTGGTTCATCGGAAATTGCAGAGCATTTTAATGCTTTCTATATTACTCTGTGGAAGAAGCTGTACTCTTTTGAGGAGCTTTATTAAAGTATTGCTAAAGCTGAACTATTATTACTTCCCGTCACTCCGTGCAACAGTAAGTATCATTGCATTTGCTTACAATGAATACTTCACTATTTCCAACAATAGTCACGAAAAAGAAGAGCATGGTTCAAATAACTATCCCACAACTGTGGTAGAGTCGCTTGATGCTTCGATTGGTGTGACCTTACCCACGTAGGAGTGTTGCCGGCCAGAACCACCGAACTGCTCTCAGAGGCGATGATGTGATATTTTGATTAAGAGTCACTTTACTCTTGGCAAGACAATCATGACACTCTGCTATAGCCTACCGTCTTTGACCCACAAAATTTCACTGTGAGTCTTTATAGTCGTATTCGGGGCAAGACAGAACACTTCAAAAAGAGTCACACGCTATTTATTATGCTGTACTTTGCAGTGCACAGCGCTTTCAGAGTGTTGCGTTCTGTCCTTAGGAGGCAGTACTTTTGCTGCTTCTTGATTTTGTTCAAACGGCCATAATCGACGCCAATG